GCACCAGATGCTAAGCACTGGGCGTGAGGTGGGGTGTTAAAGAATGACAAAAGTCCCACATCGGTGGTTAATGAGATGGGTGGACTCCTTATAAGGCTTGGGCAATCCTCCTCCCTTTGAGCTAGCTTTTGGGGTGTGAGTTAGGCCTAAGACCTAATTTAACATGTGTAAAGATCCCAAAATCAAATATGGAGGGAACAAATAAAGCTGGAAGGAATGAGAATACTCATTGCCCCGGAAACCCTTTCATTTCAGGAATACACGAGCTTTCAGCACTCAAAGTAACAGTGATACAACAGGTCAATGAGGTCTGAAAACACAAGTTTCATGTATTCGTAAAAATGAGATATGTCTGATAGACAAGAAAGCAATTCGATCAAGTTGAAGAGATGATTAGAAAGCAACTTGATTCAAGGTGTCTCTGGATTGAGAGATCTGAGATTTATGTTGCGAATGAATTATCTCAGATTCTCTTTCTTTTCTTTTTTGACAAGAGATGAATTATCTCAGATAAAAGAAACTAGAACTCAAGGCTGCTAAGCCACTGAGACGGAGCTGATACAATCTAAAGGGGAATGATACCATTTACAGGGGATAGGTTGCTCTTACTAAAAAGATTTATCAAACACTTGGACTTAAGAGAGCAGTTAGGAGTTGAAGTCCCATCAAAACATCTTTTGTTCCTTTCTGCGCATAGACATCAAAGATTACGAGCTGAGTCATCTGCCAGATCTTCTTAATGGACTTGTTCACTTTCCACATACTCCAACTTCCAACTAGAAATAAAACTTATTACTATACTCCTATAAGTCCATTACAAATTAAACATTAACATAATCATATAATTTTGTAAATAAACAGTGCTCAATCTAAGCTACGAGCCTGGTGGCTAGTATGAAGAAGGCAAGGGAAAAACATGTAAGCTCTAGCAGCCAATACCTAGTAACCCTTCATAGATAAATCAACCATGTTAACAATAACCAGTCTGGAATATAGCTGCATGGTATATGGCCAGCAAGCTATTTCTTTCTCGTGTCCAACCTTTCATTATGTTAAACTCTGTATTGGAAACGATTATTCCCTTTGTCCCAATTTATGTGTCTACTTTCACCTTTAGTCTGTCCGAGGCAGAATGTCATACTTCATTCTTAAGAAACTATTTAACTTTAAACCTTCTATGTTACCCTTAATGAGGATTTAAAGCTAGACACATCTCTGGCTTGTTTTAGACCACAACTTCAAAGAGTCTTTTTAATTTCTTAAACTCTGTACCCAGTCAAACAACGCCACATAAATTGGAACGAAGGACGTATTAAAAACTGCTACAAGTCAGGAAGTCCTAGTTAAAGCTTCTATGTCCAAGTATGATCTAGAAACCTCTTAATTTTACTTCAAAAGATAATACTTTTAATCTTACAAAGAAGTAGGATGGATTAGAGGATTCACATAGATGACACAACTAGTTTTAGTTTAAGCATCGTTAATTGGTTACCGACTACAAGAACGACATTTCACATGATTGTATTACATAGCAAGAGAGTACAAAAAAAAAATGAGAAGGTAAAACGATAATTTTTTTTTCCAGAGAAGGTAAAGCAACTTTTATAAATGAACAAGCACAAAGTTCCTATTTCCACATATACAATCTCCATCACACATAAGCAAAGAACCATCTCAAAGAGAAAAATAAGAGACTGAGATCCAGTAGATTAAAGTTCTAAGAAGCCGTATGAAGAAAACAGGCAAGAATATCGAAACGGCATTACAGAAGGTATAAACAACATTTGCTTCATATTAACTAGGTCAAAAGATTAAGATGGTCTTGAAGAATTTATAGTAATGCTTTGACCTCTCAAATCAACTTATCATTCCTATTTCCACATATACAATCTCCATCGTGCATTAGCAATGAACCAACTCAAGAGCATAGTAGTTTTAGCGAACTGAAAAATTAGACGAGAGAAACTATAGATCCAATAGGTATTCATACTTTCAGCTACTAAAATCCATGAATCATTTCCACAAAAATTGCGACAGATTATTAACTATCCGAACATAATGTACTTGAATAGTGCCGAATTTCACACAAATTCACATAGCTAACCTAACTAATTCGGGAACATTTGATTGAGATTTTCATAAAACAAGGACTTTTCACAAATATGATCTCAAAAACAAAGCAATCTATTTATAATACAGAATTAAAGTAGCTTACAGATAGAGAATATTAGTACAATGCTGCATCATTTCAAACATTAAACAGAGCTGGATTAGCAGTTGCTGTACTGACTTGGACTTCAAGCAGTTCCAAACGACGTTCCAGTGTATCAAGCTTCTCATTCAGTGTCGCCAATTTACTCTTCGTCGTCGCCTCTGAAAATACAACAAAATTAACCCCGAAATCGCTTTAAAACAGGAATTTAACAAAAACGAAAATTTTCCCTAAGGAGATTGAATGAGTCAGAGAAATTTACCGAATTGGACGAGGAAATCGAAGAGTTTACGGACGTTGAGGGAGATGTGAGATATGAATTCACGATTCTCCCAATCTGCTTGTACTGCTATGCCTACATTCACCGCATTTGTTATTCCTCCGGCTCGAGCCATTTCTGGTCACTGCTTTCCGATCAACGGAGAAGAAAGAGAGAGAGAAGAGAGATGTGGAAGGAGAACAAACAATTCTGCAATGTTTACTTTTTCCCCCCTTTCGTTTTGGCTACTACTCACTCACGTTGTAGGTTAAGAAAAAAATGGAGATAGTGATTACCTTCTTTTTTTCTTCAAAGGCAAGCATCTCTAATTGCAAGTTATTCTAAAAATTAATGATTTTGTCTTTTTAAAAATTGATGATTTTTTGTATGTGTCAAATTTTGGGTTTGATATTTGGATGTATTAGAAGGTGACGTATGATAGTTACACTCTGTTTGGATCATTGTTATCCATTGTTTCATAATGTACTGTATTGTATGGTAGATATAATGTTTGACTAGACTGTATTGCTTGTTGTTGTTTAATACTTCCTCCGTCCTATTTTTTATGGCAACATTTGATCGGACACGAAGTTTAAGAAATAAATGAAGACTTTGAAATATTTACTAAATTGCCCTTTAAAAAGTAAACTCACTTTTCTCTCTCCTCATAAATGTATTGGAGTATTATTTTAAGATTAAGTGGGACCAACAAGGGTAAAAGAGGAATTGTACTTTTAAATACTTACCATATAAGGAAATGTGACATTTTTTTGGGACTGACCAAAAAGGAAATGGTGCCACATAAAATGGGACGGAGGGAGTAACATTTTAATTGTTTGTTTTGATTGTAATTTATAAATTTGCTAAAATATCCTTAATTATTCTAGGGTAGGAGGTTTGACTAGAATTAAATAATATAAAATAAAGGGTAAAATAGTATTTTGAAATATTATGTAAAGATATAATTGAAAAAAGAAATTAAGTAACAATGAAAACACACCAAATCAGTTGTTCCATAAAATAGGGATTTTCATTGTTACGTAACAACGAATTTTAACAATACAATACAATACATTTTAAATAACAATCAAAACAAACATTGTAGGTATAGTAACGATACAATACAATACAATGGATAACAATGATCCAAACATAGTGTTAAAGTCTAATCAGGTTCAACTCAGTAAAAATAAGAACAAGCACAGCCACGAGTTATACTCATAAAATTGTTCTTGTTCATCGAAGATTAAATACAACGATGCAAGCTCATCTAGCCCTGAGAAGATCACAAGGAGGACTAGTGAATCATGTAAGGGGGACTCCCACTTTCTATTTTTTATTTCTTCTTTTCTTCTATTTTCATAGTTGAGTGTTAGCTATGACTTGTATTTTTGCCATGAGCATGATTGACAGTATGGATGTGCAAAAATCGAATCGAAAAAATGTTATTGGGTTTTAAATGGGTTTATAAAAAAAATTATTGGGTTATTGGTTCGTTTTGATTTTTACTAATGAGTTATTGGTAAACAGATAACCCAATAAGAAAGTAATAATTTACTACTTTACCCTTCCTAAATAATAAATATTAATAATTTAATATATAACTAGGCACTATAAGGGGTCGTTTGGTTTGAATATGAGTTATGATGGGATAAGTTATGTTGGGATAAGTTATGTTGAGATTAGTTATGATGGGATAAGTTGTCCTGGGATTATTTCTTATTGAGTGTTTGGTTTGTTATATTCAAAATAATATATATTGATAAATTTTCAGAACAAGTTGTTTGTTTACAAAATTACCCTTCACTTTATTTAAACTTTTTAAATATTTCTTTGTGAGCTTTAGTTATTCATTTTTTAAAATAAAACTTTTATTTTATTTAACTTAAATATTTTTGTTTATGTATTCCCATGATAAGTACCATGTGTATTTAAAAATATAACTTTTTTCTTATTTAGCTTAAAAATAGAACTTCCCTCTTAAGTTTATTAAAGAGAAGAAAATTTATGAGAAATCAAAATAAAATAAACATAAGAATTAGTCAAATAAATTCATAAATAAAAATTATATTTATATAGTATAATTTTTTAATAGAAAAATATGTATAATTATCATAAAAATAAGGGATAACTTATCCCGGTACTAATTATTAATCCCGGGATAAGTTATCCCGGACTTGCCAACCAAACAACATAATTTTTTTTTATCCCATCACTATTATTTCTAATCCCTCACACCAAACGAGCCCTAACTATATCATATTATCAATACTCTACTCAGTACTCACTTCACACTAGGCCGCTTTAGTCTTTATTGTTTACTCAAAACCTAAAGACCTTTAGTCTTTAATTTTATTAACATCAAAAATTGCATACTATGTTTTGGAGGTGACATGTAATTATAGCATTCGTACTATATTTTTTCTTATTGATGCAATTTCTCATTATCTTTCTTGTTTCACTATATCAAAGCCTTTAGAGAAGTGCGAAGTCATATAATATTTTATGGACATTTTCTTATTGGATAAACCGAACACCGATAAAAAATATCTTATTGGTTTGTTATTGATCCCACTTCATTGAATCATTGAAAAATAACACCGTATATATATATTTTTTTTAAAACAGTTTTTGAAATTTTATAGGTATATATTAAATTTTGACACCATTTAGCACAAGTGTGATGCTTAACCTAGCGGTGAAGAAGGTTTATTCTGTCCGGCCAACCCAAGTTTGATTCTAGCTTCTAACATTGTCTATTTTATTTTATATTTTGAACCCATTTTGTGATAATCCTGGGTCTGACACTGATGATTGACTAGATTTTTTTTAATTCACTAATGATTGACTAGTTTTTTTTTTTTTAATTCTAGGATTGCAGGATGATTATCTATGAACATTATAGCTTGAAGCTTTATGTTATTGTTAGCGTTTTGATTATCAATATTGGTTTAGTTATTTTATCATGCACTTTATTATGTGATTGCTTGATCAATAATTGAATACTATCTACAAATGAACTCGAGAGTCACTGCAAAAAAAAATATTATGTCGGTGAATATACTAAAAATTATAATAAATTATAGTTAAAAAATAAATTGAACAAAATTGAATGAATAAATATTCAGAATGAGTGTTGATATTTCATTCTTTTTAAGGAGATTCAAGGTCAATGTGATATAATCTACACTGATCTAATAATATATCTCGTGACTTACCCCCTACAAGATACAACAACTCAACAATGTCATATAACTCAAACAACTCCGAATTTGTTAAAGAGTTCAAAGCTCCATCGTAAGACCACATTTCTTCAACACAAAATTACTCATTTTTTTTATAGTGAATAAGTTGAAGTGTTGAAAATATTTTTTCTTATCTCAACTATCGCTCTTTCACTACACCAAACTTAAAGTATAAACACAATATAATACTTCTTATCTACTTCTCATCTTTTCATCTATTACAACACAACAAAGAAAACATCCTTTATATAACTAGGATTTCTTCCACAAATAAATGACAAAAATTGTCACGACCCGGGAGCACCCCCTAGTCGTAACCGGCGTACTCGACCTCGAAGAGGTCTAATACAAGCCTCTTAGCATTCATTCATCGCATATACACTAAAACCATAATGAATTTAAAACTTTCTTTACCAAGAAAACATTTAATTAAAAATAGCAAGCGGAAGACTTTCTAGACTTTATACATGATGTCTCAAAATATCATGAACAATAGCATAAAAGACATACAAGACAAGCATAACATCAAGTAAGTCATAATATCACCTTTAAACAATATCAACATGAAAACCTTTACCTTGGACCTTCACCTCAAGAAACCCTTATGCTATACCTCGTGCAATGTATGGATGGCGTCCCATACCACCATCCATACTAAGGCACCACATTTAGGTCACTTAAAGTAACTTATCATTCCTTTCTTTCACCTTTGCACAATATTCATACATAAGAGGTATATCATTAATTAAGACATGACAAGGGAAAATAACTCGTAATATAACCCAAGTATAACATGCATAACATATTAAGCATTTAAGAGCCAACATTCTTTAATAACCTCATTTAGGGTACATTCATGTCACAGTCATTAGGATTTAGAGAAACTCACTATGACCCTCTCCAAGCCTACTCGTGCAATGTATAGGTAGCATCCCATACTACTACCTACACTTTGTAGAACCTATCAAGAAACCATAATGAAATCTCACATGATGGGAAGTAAGCATTTAACCGACATAGACCATGAGAGCTTGTCATGGAATCCGGTGTCATGAGTCCCCACACCGAAAAGAGGTGGTCTACTTGCCTAAGGAAGACCGGTATATATAGCTTAATGGATCCACTAGCTTCCTATGCGGGCACATAGTTTATGGGATAAGGTAGACGATCATTGAAACTCATGCCTAACTGTCGGGGGAGTTTCCATCTAACCAAATCCGCTCGGTGCTTAGCCTACATTCCCATAGAATAGTTCATTACTTTGACATCATCACACATGAAAGGGTGCCATAAGCCTACCGATTCAAGGTACATTATTTAACACATGAAAGGGTGCCATAAGCCTACCGATTCAAGGTACATTATTTAACACATGAAAGGGTGCCATAAGCCTACCGATTCAAGGTACATTATTTAACACATGAAAGGGTGCCATAAGCCTGCCGATTCAAGGTACATTTAGGAAAGCTCATTAACTCCTCTTGAAAGGGTGCCATGGGCCTGCCGATTCAAGTCTCATCATTAACCTTTATGGAAAGGGTGCCATAAGCCTGCCGATTCAAGGTACATTTAGGAAAGCTCATTAACTCCTCTTGAAAGGGTGCCATGGGCCTGCCGATTCAAGTCTCATCATTAACCTTTATGGAAAGGGTGCCATAAGCCTGCCGATTCAAGGTACATTTAGGAAAGCTCATTAACTCCTCTTGAAAGGGTGCCATGGGCCTGCCGATTCAAGTCTCATCATTAACCTTTATGGAAAGGGTGCCATAAGCCTGCCGATTCAAGGTACATTTAGGAAAGCTCATTAACTCCTCTTGAAAGGGTGCCATGGGCCTGCCGATTCAAGTCTCATCATTAACCTTTATGGAAAGGGTGCCATAAGCCTGCCGATTCCAAGGTTCATTACTTATCATTAATGGAAGGGTGCCATTAGCCTACCGATCCAAGGTTCATTATAAGCATGTGTGGAAGGGTGCCATAAGCCTACCGATCCAAGGATTCAACAATCAACAATATAATCATTTATACAAGAAAATGATGCATAAGCCCTACCAATTCAAGGTATACTT